ACTGTCACGACCGAGATAACCATCATCACAACAGACACCACGAAGATCGCAAGTGCCCGGTCGACGAGGGGCAGAGAGCTGTGCATTGTGACGTTTTGAATTTGGCACTTGCCCAGCGCAGTCCTCTAGCTGACCGCGGATTGAATTTTCTTTTCGTTATCAATAGGGAAGGGACAGGTATTCAATCCGAACAAGAATGCCCAGGTACGTTGACGAGTGCCATGGTAGTAACGGGAGAAATCAAGACGCTGCCAGCCTGATGGCTTCTGGGTACCGCTCTAAGAACCCGACAGATTTTGATTTTCGGAGGTCATAAGGAAGCCGGGCCTCTCTGTAAGAGCAGGCCCGAAGAGCTGTCAAGCTAGCTATATGGCATATGGCACAAAGTAACCAGCGAACGACGAGGGCGCAGATCTTTCGCTCTAGATCCATTGTCCTGCCCTGGTTCCGGATTGTGGTTGTCTAGTGATACTTCCGATGTCTAGTGACACTTCGATGTCCGCGATCTAACCTTTCATGGCACCAAATCCGCGGGCCAAGGTACCGGTGAGACCTCGAGAACTGTGAACTGGGAACGGAGGGGCAAAGATCTGCTAGAGGGTTTTAGATTAGACTCGGGGCTTCTTAGTCTCATTTTTTCAGCATGATATCAATTTGGTGAGGAAAGCCGAGGTTTGGGGTCATCTCAGGTACACGGTCTCATAATGACCACTAGGTAGTTAGTGATAGTTCGTGGCGATGATAATCTTTAGTCTGTAGGCCCTAGCGTCTTACCCACCACTTGGATAACAGACGGCGGGTTTCGGCCCGATGCATTTAGTATTGACTTGTCGATACTGACAAGTGAGAGAAGGCCGGATAGAAATTCAGATAGTCCTGTTGTCACTCAGAAGTCGCCTCTAATATCACTCCTCTCCTTCACTCGTCAAACAAGGGAGACTGACAGAAGGCTGCCCGCGTGTCTCCATGGACCTGAGGAGAGCGACCGAGCCAGCTCAGGCCCCTAAACCATCGTCGAACTTTAACGAGTCAGAACGCGGGACCCTATTCCGAGACACGATAGCCGTCATCAATCATTGGAACCTGCAGTGGGGCTGTCGGGCGATGAAGAATACTAAAACTAGATCGAGCATCCCCTCCGTCCATGGTCGAGACTTTTGTCGAACTTTCTTCGAAGCAATGGGAACCTGGACTCAAAGATCAGCGGCTCCTAAAACGACTGAAACGAGGGTTAGCCAGTTGGGACAATTGTGATGTGTCAAGGGTAAAACACTGAAGCTTTTTTTTCGTAATGTTGCCTTAGTCACTTTTCTTTTGATTACTGATCGTTATACAACGGAGAGACATGATGGTTTGATGATTCTCTGCGGGTTGGGATGGGGGAATGGCATTTATTGTAGAAGAAGAGATGGAGTTTCTAGTGAGCCGAAAAGTATGTCCCGTCCGACCGCACCAGGAGGCTGCTTTCCTCCTCCACTAAACAATCAGCTCTTAAGAACGTACCTTTTGCCGAAACGGAAAGTAATATTAAGGTACCTGCTATTGCAAGCTACATGCCTGAACACCTTCATTGAAGCCAAAGATATATTTTCTAGAAACAGTCCGTCGAGACTCAGTCTGGACTGAACGGCCCAGCAAACACGCCATGGACGAATAGAGACAGACTATCATAGAACCCTGTCATCAAATCAACACTAATAATGCAAGCAACGGGTTACAATCCATGGTACGTTCTTCTGATTGGCGTACTCCGTATGCGTCTACATATCCCGGCCACAGCCAGTGCGACACAGATTGGCGGTCTAGGATCGTATCCCTTCGTCTTTAACATGGACTGACGCCTACACAACTCTCGCCATTCTTCAGTTCATCATCAAACCAACGTCTACAAGTCGCGAGACGCAATGGCCATCGAACAACAGACGTCCGAGTGGGACAACTTCGTCGCCAAACATACCAACGTTGAATTCGTCTGGTTACAATTCATGTCCTATCGCAGTCTAGTTTATACGCGCATGTTCCCAATGGACAAATTCAAAGCCATGGTGCAGAAGGGCAAATTTATCACCATCCCGGATGTCGCACTCCTCCTGGGTCCTGGCGATGTTATCGCCGAAGGAGGTCTCGCGTCGGGTAAATTCTGGTTGCGGCCGGATTTTGAGACTGTATATTGCCAGCCAGGATCCAATGGAACTCGAGCGGTCATTATGTGCGACTTTGTAGGCGATGATGGCACGCCGGGCTTGCAGTGCCCGAGGTCGCGGCTAAGAGATCTGGAGGAGACGCTGTTGGAGGAGCTGGAGTGCTCCGCATTGGTTGGCTTTGAAATCGAGGTGATGTTCATGCGAGCCGAGAAGAGCGATGGAATCATGCGGTTCTCCATGGCCAACTACGACCATTCGTGGTCCAGTATGACCGCCGAGGACGAGTCGATGCTGGAGATGCTGGAGACCATTGCGCGGACGCTGGCTACGGCAGATGTTCCCTTGGAGCAGTTCCATGCCGAGGCGGCACCAGGGCAATGGGAGTTTGTCCTGCCACCAGCGAGGCCCATCCAGGCCGCCGATATGCTGATCAGGGCTCGTGAGACCATCAAACGGGTTGCAACCTCGTTCGGGTATCATGCTACAGTGTATTCGCGCCCATCATCCGTCCATCCCGGTAACGGGGGTCACGTACATATGTCAGTAAATCCTGTGGGTGAATCAGAGAATTGGGTCCGAAAGGCAGAATCTTTCTTCGCGGGTATCATGTACCATATGCCGGCCATCATGGCGTTCTCCTTGCCTCAAGACATCAGCTACAGTCGTGTCGCACCTGGGCTTTGGAGTGGCGGCGAATACGCCTGCTGGGGATGGGAGAACAAGGAGGTTCCACTTCGTCGCATCGGCGAGAACCATTTCGAGTTCAAGCTGGCTGATGGCCTCGCAAATCCTTATCTCACTTTGTCCGCAATGATCGCCGCTGGAATCGATGGGATGCGGAGTCAAAAGCCTCTGTGGGGAGGTGACTGCGTGACATCTGCATCTGAGCTGTCGCCGGGCGAGCGGCAGGCCCTGGGAATCAATACGATCCTGCCGAAATCACTCGACGAGAGTTTGCATGACTTGGAAAGGGACCTCGGTTTACGCGAACTGTGTGGCCCAGTGATCATCAGCAAATATGTGTTAGTCAAGCGGACGGAGGCAAAGATACTGCGCCAGATGGCCGAGGAAGATCGAAAGAACTGGCTGATTGCGAGGTATTAAGCAGACAGCTCGCCGTTTGACGAGTAGAATTCTGCAGGCAATCAGCAGGAGGGCGATAGCGGACTGCGGAGAGAACGCAGCTGGCTGTTGACAGTCTTGGGTCTATGCGAGGCTGGCTCTGGTGAATCCAGCGCAGTACTTAAGAGTTGTACGATACTACAAAGGCACCATGCAGCGACAGAGCTCTCAAGGTCCAACTACCCTCATCTTATAATCTCTAAAGCAAACCACAAATGATTTGAACAAGAATATTCTGAGGGCTCCCGATTGCCGCTGTTGTTGTGTTTGTGTCTGTGCCTATTCCTCTCCTCCTATTCGCCCTCATTTTCCCCCTCTTGTTGAGCTAATCCTGTCACCTTTTATGCATCTAGTGCCTATTCCGTAACGCTTGGTAGCTTTCGTTCTAGGTCTTACATCTTACACCCGTGGCTGCAGAGAATAACGAACCAGAGGCCAGACTGACCCCTCAGCAATATTTGATCTAAGGTAAGTTGAGGATGATCTATTCAGGATGAATGATACAGCAGGGATGACGCAGATGGGAAGACTCAGCTTTAAGCAAACTCCTAGCAAACAGAAGTCGAAAAGAGACTATTCTCAGCCACGGACAAAGCCACAAGCGAGCCTCATGAGATTAGGAATAATACTGATATCAGTGGGGTTAGTTGAGCTTGACTCTCTTGGCCAGTGGGTCATCTTTCTTCGCTTAACTGCTAGACTGCATAGTATTATTATGAGGCAGACGGTAATGCAATATATCTTTTTGCTGATCTGATAGGTCATCCGTCGATACAATGATAAACCAACCGCTATATATAAGCGTACTTCTCCAGACCCACAGCACCCAGATTGCCATTGCATATGCCATTGTGCCATGTGCCAGCATTGCATGCTTATGCATAATACTTCCGGCACAGCAGCCAAGTCCGTATCCAACCCTGGATCTCTAATGAATCTGGCAGTCCCGGTGGTTGTGATCCTCTTGGCGCGGACATGCCCGCATCCATCCCTACATCATTCCTTGTACTCTGCATCGCGGCGTGCATCTTTTATCTCAATCTGTCATCCCCCACAGCTGCAGCTGTTCCATCTAAGGACATCATTATTATGTTGATCATTACAATGCTTTGGGATTACCTCAGAAAGCCATTTCCATAACTCAACTGCCGAGGCATTCTCAGATCGGCCGGGTCCGATGGCAGAGCCCGAACCAACGCAGTGGAGCATCAACTACGATCATGGACTAACAAGCGGGGAACGCCTTTCTATTGGATTGACCGATCCGAGAATCTGCTGTTCGCTTCTGGGCGTTTTGTCGACTGGAATTTCTCTTACACTTTCGAATGCAACGATTGGTCTGTTTGCGGCTGCTCTCTGAATCATGCTGCAGGGCCACTCAGTCCCCACTCAAATCTGGGGAAGACGGGGAAGAAGCTCACTATGAACGTGGCATCCCATCATCTATCTGGGGAAATACACTAGTGGCAACTGAAAATGTGAGCACCGATGATCGGCCAGCCAACAGCCCCAAGCGAGATTCTGGAGAATCCTGGTCCACTTGGTGTACGCCTCCCCCGGCACCCGCCGATGACCGTACAAACGGACATCTGGTATATAAATGCAATTGACATTTCTGGCAATGGGCGGCCCATCAGAGCGGGGCATTGAAGGCCTTATAGCTGTTTTTGTTTCAGAATTGCCCGTCATTGCGATTGAGATACCTGCGGTACTTGCATATACTTCACCATTGAGATGGCGCCCTATTTTGGCCTCCGTGGCTCTGCCTTGAGCCGGGCCATCATCTGTTTGGTCGTGTGCCCTGCGTTTATCACCTATGGGTACAACCTGAGCGTGGCCGGGGGCTTGTTGACGCTTGAATCGTTCGTTGAGACTTTTCCCCAGATTGATACGGTAAATACCACAGGGGCTCAGCAGCATTACAACTCCACCATTCAGGGTATGTCCCTGCGTCCACTGTTGAATAGGGCCTAACCATTATAGGAACTGTCGTGGCCCTTTTTACCGTCGGGGGTATATTCGGCTCTCTATCATGCATTTACCTTGGTGACCGCCTGGGTCGCCGAAAGGTTATCTTTCTTGCATCCGGTGTGACGATCGTCGGTGCAATTCTTATGGCTACGGCATTCAACTTTGCTCAGTTCATCGTGGCACGACTGGTTCTGGGGTTAGGGACCGGTGCATACCTGGCAACGGTACCCGTGTGGCAGTCGGAGATCTCAAAGGCCAGCAAACGGGGTGCCCATGTGGTGACTGACGGCATCTTCATCGGCATTGGTGTCTCCCTGTCCCTCTGGATCGACTTTGGCTTCTACTTCATCACCGGCAACTCGGTGTCGTGGCGCTTCCCCCTCGCTTTCCAGATTGTCTTGCTGTTGATTGTGATGGCGTTCGTCGTGATCTTTCCCGAATCGCCCCGGTGGTTGGTCAAAAAGGGCCGGATCCAGGAAGCCCGAGAGATTCTTGCCGCGCTGGCCGATATGGACCCGGACTCGGAGTTGATCAGCGCGGACATTCGTGACATCGAGCTATCGCTGTCCATCTGCGGCAATGGCTCGTTCAAGAGCATGCTCACGATGGGCGAGCAGCGGCTGTTCCATCGCACCCTTCTCGCGGCAGGCGGACAGATGTTCCAGCAAATGTGCGGGATCAACCTGATCAGCATGTACGCGACGACCATCTTCGAGCAGTACCTTGGCATGAGCGCCATCAACTCGCGCATTCTGGCGGGGGCCATGTGCCTGACACAGCCACTGGGCGGATTCCTGGCATTCTTCACGATCGACCGGCTGGGCCGGCGGCCCCTGATGCTGTGGAGTGCAGCCGCCATGTCCCTCTCAATGGCCATCCTGGCGGGGACCACCTCGGTGACGGACAACACGGGCGCAACAGTCGTCGCCGTCATCTTCCTGTTCGTCTTCCAATTCATCTTCACCGTCGGCTACTCGGGCCTGACCTTCCTGTACGCGACCGAGGTCGCACCGCTGCAGCTGCGCGCGGCCATCAGTGCAGTCTCCACTGCCGCCGTGTGGACCTTCAACTTCCTCCTGGCGCAGGTGACGCCCGTCGGCTTCAACTCGATCGGGTACCAGTACTATATCATCTTCGCGGTGCTCAACGCAGCCATCGTGCCGACGGTCTACCTCTTCTTCCCTGAGACCAACGGCCGCACCCTCGAGGAGATCGACGAGATCTTCATCCGGTCGAACAGCATCTTCGACCCGCCCCGCGTCGCGCGCAACCTGCCCCGGATGCATTTTGCCGAGGTAGTCGATGTCGCGACGGACTCGGGGGACGACAAATTAACCAAGGCTGATCCTTCAGCTTTTGACGTCGCGGGTTGATTGAATTGATCCTGAGGGATTCGCCAAGTGTCGGACCAGCGGTCCGCTGGATAAATGCCGGACATTATCAATCAGAGGATATTAACCCCGTACTTGATTGGGAATATGAGACGCAGATCATCTGGTATGATACGATTTGATGAATGGATCGCCGAACAAGTATGACGGATGCAGAGCATTCTAGACTACTTTATTATACTTTATTTGACTTCTGAAGGATTCAATGAAACCCCGATGTGCTCTGCACATTGGCCTCAATTTAGCCGTTTCAGCATGAGACACTCTTGTATATAAGACTCGCCATCACTCTCTATCGCCCTCCGTCAGGACAACTGAATCAAAACTCATCGTATCAAGACAAGATGAAATCCTGGCTGTTCTTCCTTCCCCTCGTCCGCTGCGACGTGATCTGGAACGGCTTCTTCGACTCCAACTTTACCGTCGACCACTTTGACCAATGTACCCCTCCCTTTCTTTCTTTCATTCTATGTATACTCATACTGACAATGAAATAGGGTCCTGGTCTAACCAAATCCCCCCGTATCAATGGTACATCCACGGCTCCCAGCCAACCCCTCACTACTTGGGCCTCTCGCCTGCATTCAAGAACCCAGCCTCCAAGGCCGATGCCCAGGGCATTAGGATCACCATTGTACTTCCCCCCCCCCCTCTTTCCCTTCCTACTCCTATCTCAAGTGAATAATGTACTAATGAGGTAAGGACAACACCGCCTCCTGGAACGGCCAAACAATGATGCGCAGCGAGATCATCCCCCAGAAAGCCGCAGGCGTCAACCTAGGCCAGGGACACCTGTACTATCACTTTTCGGTGTCGACTAGAGAAACCAACGCCCCGGATCCGGGTCTCGAGCATCAGATTGCTTTTTTTGAGGTGCCCCCTTCCGCCTTCTACCCCAGCTGTCTAATTGTTTGTGAGTGTGAGGCTGATGAAATGCTAGAACCACTTCACAGAACTCAAATACGGCCGGCTCAGCGGTACTGCCGACGATAATACCCTTCGGTGGATGGTTAGCGGGCAGACCAAGTGGACGACGCAGCTTGTCCCTGGGACGTGGTACAATTTCGCGTATGATATCGACTTCGACGCGAAGACCGTTGGTCTGTGGGCGTCGACGGGGGCGGAGGCGCTGAAGAAGGTCGTGGAGAATATTGGCGCGAATACGTTTACTGATTCCCAGGATTGGCATGTGGGTGAGCTGAGGTTGGATAATGGGGCCAACGCCCCTGCGGAGGATTGGTTCTGGTCCGGGGTTTATATTGAGAGTGGGAAGGTGACTACGGATGTGGCTGGGCCTAGTGGTTATTGACTCATTGCGAGCGCGAAGTGGATGCGAAGTTTAACATAGGTATATTTCTTATATGTAGTGGAACTGAATTGAACGGAAGGCGATAGCATTAACGAATGCAGTAGCCCCCGTCAATGAGCAGGTCCGTCCCGGTCATGTAGGAACTGGCATCGCTGCACAGATACACGTACGCGCCCTTGAGCTCCTTCGCGTCGCCGTTGCGGCCCATGGGAATCATACTGAGCCACAGGTCCTGCGTCTTCTTGTCCACGAAGTCCGACAAGCCGGTATCAATATACCCCGGCGAGATACTGTTAACCCTTGCAAAATCCCTCCACTCATTCGCCAGCGACTTGGCAAAGTGAATGCACCCCGCCTTGGCAACATTGTAGCTCGTCTGCTCCTGGGGATAGTTCGCAATGTGGCCGGACATACTGCTCGTAATGACGAAGCTGCCCTTACCCCGCTCCTTGAAGTGCGGGCCGACAGCCTTCGCGCAGTAGAACGTGCCCGTCAGATCCGTCTGAATCACCTCCGCCCAATCATTCACAGAGCCATCCAGGATCCCCGCGCTGGCAGTGCGCCCCGCATTCGCGATAAAGGCATCGATCTGTCCGAACTCGGCGATCACGTCCGCAACCAGCTTCTGGACGCTCTCCCAGTCGCCCACGTTGCACTTGTAGGCCTTGGCCTTGACGCCGTAGGTTTTGGCGATCTCGGCGGCGTTCTTCTCGCCGCCTTCCGGGCGGGAGGCGTATGTGAGGGCGATGTTGGCGCCCATTTCGGCGCAGCCGCGGGCGGCTTCGATGCCCATGCCGCGGGGGCCGGAGGCGCCGGTTACCACCACGGTTTTACCCTTGAGGCTGAGGAGGTCGAGGAGGGAGGAGGCGGCGGGGACGGGGATAGGCATTTTGACGGTATGATTGTTATAAACTTGGTAAATGGTTGGATGATTATGGTAGTAAATGACTGATGAAGAGAAGAGGGGGTAGTTATATAACCCGGGATGAGCGGAGCAGTGATGGCATTGATGATGTCATGAGGTGGCTGACAGGGTACTGAAAGAGGACCTTCGTAGTTAGCAAGCTGCCCCTCGGAGAAACATCACCATCAGTAAGCATCAGTAAGGTATGATGAAAGTCTTTCTAATGGGTCTTTTGTTGCTCTGATGCATCTGATTGCTCTGTGAGGGGCTTCTAAGTCTTAGTCAATCCTTCCTAAGCGCTATCCACGTCGGCGCACGATGCACTCATCCCCCATTCGCTAGTTTCTCGCTTGCTATTATGACATAAAGCGAGCGTGATCCTTACCAAGAAACCGACCGGGAATTGAGTTTGGAGAGGGGTAGAGAGGAACCAACGTTGGGGTAACGGTACAAAGAGACAGTGGAACCTATGATGGAATGAACCCAAAATCTATTACTTATATAATACAGATGGAAATCAACCGGTTAGACTGTCCTCGCTTTCTCCCCGCTTCGTGGGATGGCTCCCTGTAATAATCGTGGTCGTGATGCCCTGATACTCTTCGTCCGCCGTTCCCGTCCATAGCCGACGTGCGTCGTCAACCCTCTCATCGGGCTTCGACCGGCGCGAGAGTCCCTTGGGCATATTTCCGGATAGTGGAAATGAGCCTGGTGTTCGTTGATGACTTCGTGAGGCAGAAGAGCCATCCCTAAGAAAGCGAACCAGAGGACGGAGGGTCGTCAGCGAACCTGCCGTGATACCCAGTCCGGCTTCGACGTTACTCCAGATTGAGATCTATAAAGTCAGCACTTATTTCGTCATCCTAGGAGTGATCGCTCACTTGGTAGGTTGCATAGAAAAAGTCGGGATCCTTGTAATTGTGAACAAAGGGAATTCGAACAATGACTGCCGCGCTGGCAATGCATCCGATCCCTAAGATCCCCGCAATGGCCATCTTCGTCCGGGCGTTCATCCGCAGAGACCAGATGATGAATACGGGCAAGATTCCAATCGTGAAATCGGTGACGGCCGCACCCACGCTGTAGGTGTACGCAATGGCGATGAGGATATCCGTATCGAGGCACGAGCCCGGCTTGGTGGATCGGTTCCAGAAGAAGTCGACCGGTTTACATTCGAACATGGTGAAAAAGAAGAAGAGAAGGCCCACAACCAGGGCCAGCCCCATGGCGGCATACAGGATGATGATATGCACTCGGTTAATGGTGATTCGCAGGAGGGAGATGATGATGGACATTTTGGCGACGACACAGGTGATGATATAGAAGACTTGACCGAGCCACCAGCACTTGGACCGTTAGCATATGTCGTTGTCCTTCGACCTCGAGATCAATCATACCAGTAGAGCTCGACGGTAATAGTCCGGGTGCAATTCAAAGTAATCCATCTTCTGGCCCATCCCATAAGAGCAACCCACGAGAGTGCATATGGCGAATGCTAGGTTGAGGGCCTTACTGGTCAGCTCATCGCTGGACGAAATCAAGTGCGGCGCAGGAAAACCTACCATGGCGGCGACCATCGTCCAGTCATCCAGGCCAAAAGCGCGCACCACTCGCGCACGAACGAAACATCGCAGGCATACGGTGACCAGCGACAGGGCCAGAAAGACAGACGTGGCGGCGACAATCGCCTCACTGCGACCGTTGAGCATGGTGCTGCCGAGACATGGGTGACGGCCAGCTTGAAAAGAGTCGGGTTAGAGAAAGCATGGGCAAAGAGAGCGACCGAGGCATTAATAAGGATAATCCGTTGATAATCGGCAGTGAGAAAAATTCATAGTCTTGATTAGCCAGAGTTTATTATTGCAAGTTGTGCGGCGTGCCACGGATGCCATGCCGCCCATGCGTCTCCTTCCAGAGGCCCAGGCTTTGGGCGGTTTTATGGTACGGAGAGCGGAGTACTCCGTCGTAGGGGTCGATGCACACAGCATACACTATTGGAATCGCACAATACGGATTACTGCGTAGGCTCAATAGGATTGCTGTTTTGGCATCGATTCCGAGGGATTGGGATCTGTATACGATGTACTCAACAACATTATTATTAGCAGCGATCAAACTTGCCTCAGTGAGGCATGGACTTGGTAGGAAACAGACCATGTGGGATCCCCTGTCCCCTCCTCGTGTGGTTCATTACCCAGTCGGTACATTGCAGATCGGCTCATTGGAAACCAGCCACGAATGAACTCTCTTCTGGTGGGGATTGATGTCCAAACCACGGATGTCAGAGGCGAGCCCTCATGTCTTGACCAGCAGTTCCTGTGTGGATGTCGATTGGTCTGTGTAGATGGTAAGCGGCGTTGAGAGCCGCAGCAGGGGAAGCTCTTCAGGGGAAAACATCCGGATCTAACAAAGTTAAATGCCAGCAGTCTTGACAAATTTATTACTTAATGGGACATGCGGTTTGACTTGATACGAGATACTTGGAAGGAGACTGCTGTTGCAGATGACTGAATCATTCTATTCTTTCCAATAGTCTCGTCGATTCTTCAATAAATTATTACTTAGTAATATAATATGACAAACCCCAGTTTATTTCGATCTGGTGCTGATCTGCATCCAGATCTGCTGCCATCTAACTTTCTCTACTCATAATGCGCTTCCCGGGCCAACGGGATATATTCGGGATTATGACAATTCAGCATCTGGCTATGGAAGACAAAAGAATTGATCTTACGGCAATTAAGGAATTACATTCCGAGTTTGCACCATGTGGTCGCACTGGTTTCCTGTCCAGTCTGTCATCCCAAAGGATTCAAGCTTACTGTTTTGGCTTCCTCAGTCCGTTGCTAAGATCGCTGAAAAGGATACCGCGTACATAATTACTAGCTACAAGCGAGCATGAATATTTTGGATTTGGCATGGACTATTGAATTCAATTCTCTTGACCTTTGACCAAAGCCGAAACTGCCAAGGGAGGATCTTCTATTATTGAACTTAGAGACTGCTGCCGATTACTGATCTGGCATTCTGACTGCGACGTGAGCCGAGTTTACTCCGTAGCCAGGACTGTCTTCTTTTCTTTATGACTTGAAATATCTCAATTCCTGTGTCACGTACCGCCGTGATAGATAGATGGATATCCGTCATATAAGCTGTTTCTATACGTACTATCTACAGGATTGACCTCACAGCCTCAGCTAACTAACTATAGAATGGCCTCGGGAAATTCCCCGCACTCTCTTGATGTAATCTACCTCGGTTGTCTGATTGAGATAAGAGCATCGAATTAATTATCTGGTGTTGAATCAATTAGTAGCAAATATCACATATAAGATTGAAATCAAATATAACCGCACAATTCATCAACATGCCTGGCCTCACTCTGCATCTCCTTGCTCTTGCTCCCTCCACCACCGCCGAGTCTTTTCTTCGCCAGCTCCGCCAGTCCTCCGCCGTCAAGGTCATTCTCGCCTCTCGTCCACAGCACATCGTCATACCTCCCACCCTCATTGACTCTAATCTGCTGACGACCACAAAATGGGACCTTCTTGTTCTCCTTCAGCCGTTCTCCGCAGCCAAAGATGCAGCCCTTGAATCACTTCCGCCTAACCTACAACCCCTCGTGCAACAGGAGTACCGTCTCGCCGTTGGCATCCCCTCAAAGCTTCTATCCAGCTACGATGAACGCGACAAATCTCTCAAACGAGACGCCTCCTGCATCCCTCTGACAGGCTCCCTGGCCAATGCCCGCCAGAAGTCTTCCTCGAAGAATCTGGAACTCTCGCCAGATCTGCTCGCCTTCATGGACACTCTCACGCGTACACACAATGGTCCCGTCACCATGCTGAATTTGCTGCATTTCCACCACCCCAACGGAAAGAAAAGCTACTACCAATACGGACAGGCTTTCATCCCTGTCGCTGGTAAGCGCGGCGGGAATGCAAAGCTCGTAGGGAATGTGATCACACCCGCCTCGACCGCCCAGGTCGACTCGCGGGGACGCCTGGATCGATCAGAGACGGACTGGTGGAACGAAATCTCGCTGGTGCATTACCCGTCTATCAGGCATTTCTGCGATATGCTGGCTGGAGAGGACTATCAAGCGATTAATGAGAAGTATCGCTTGTCTGTACGTTGCGCCTTCCTTTTAATGATTTCCCTCAGCTAATGCCGTCCAGGCTCTTCGAGATACGTTCTTGCTTTGCACAACCGAATTCGACGTTGAGACTTCACTTGCCAAACTATGATTCCGCATATTGCCTGCCGTCGGTTCGGTGTATGGGTCATGTCAAACTACAGACAACAATCTGATCACTGTCTCTGAATTGCTCCGTCGTCCACCTCACAAATATCTCCAGCTCTATGCATTACTGGCGCAGGAGAAGCTGCGGCCAGCTGACTCTTCGCTGATTGCTCGGCCAGACGCATACAGTCCAAGGCCACACTGATCCATCAGTACGTGATGCGAGAAGGTGAAGACTACTTACCAGACATCCTCCCATGCCAAGCAGGATGAAATTGACAATGGTCAAGAATGTTTTCCTCGGCGACGAGAACCAAAGACCCTTGTTGATGAAGAGCCAGAAGGCACCACATAGTCCATCTACGTAATTAGCAAGGCACCTCTTTTCTGTTCTCAAAAGGATACGCACACGAAAACCAACTGCAGAACAGTGCGGTCTGTAGTATTGTTAGACATGCAATCACTCCGGCATGGGCAACGGCAACCTACGACCAGGCTCAGCAGGTTATTGAACTCAGGAACTGCTTCTGCAATGATCCAGGCTATCGTCCACAGCACCACCGAGATCGTCACCCAAGTCCCTATCGAGAACAGACTGCGCTGGTGCAGATGCTCGGTACCCCGGAACAGGCGGACATAAATGTACTTGCAAGCGATGTGTCCATTAATCACCCCGGCAATCACAATCTACAACGTCAGTTTCCAGTAGATCAAATGCTATCATCCTGAAGTTCATACCGTTGGAATCGCAATTCCATACGCAACCTTGGCCATCAAAGGGCTGGATGAGCCCAGTGCCGGTGACGCAACGTGCTGACCAGCAAACCGGTAGATAACCACGCCGGTGACTGTGTACAAGGTCGTGTTGATGATTTCAACAAAACACAGCGTCTTCGGCCAGTCGGTGGGGGTTTTCATCTCGGAAATGTAGCCAAAAAAGGCTGGATGGGCGGCTGCCATTGTTGGTCAATGGTTCAGCTGCAGTCAGTCAATAGAGGCTTACCATAAGCGAACACGATATCCGTGACTGCGAGAAACGCTCTGTACAGACTCGTCGACCTAGTCACCTCAACCTTTACATTCCGTGGCCGCTGGACACCAAGCGCAATCATCGTGACTAAGACTGCCGCAACGATACTGGCAAACGCTGCGGTCATGGGTCAGCGACAACTCTTCACTCATCATAAGAAAAACCTTACAAATAACTGACAACCACGACATCCTTTTAAACGTCCTCGGCAAGCTCAATATAAGCGAAATCAGCAACCCCACCACCCCGAAAACAATACTGCATGTTCCGTGATCGGTCAGTGTGTTCATCATGACACTAAAAGTGAGAATGTGCCCTCCCATCACAAACACCAGGCAGAGCAGCAGCCCCGTCCCCAGGACCTCGCGCCCGATCCAGCCGAAAAGTACCTCGCCCCCATCCGCAATGCTATGAACATGGGGATATCGCGCCTTGAATTGCCCCATTACACAGCCGGTGTAGACGGTGAGGATAGCAATGCCGACGATGAGTATCACGCCGCTTTGCCAGTTCACAGTTAGCCATTGATAAAGCACCGGGACGGAAGACGGAAGACCAACGGGACGATTCCCAGCGTCGCCACAGCCGAGGGAAGCGTTAGGATGCCTAGAGAGGTTCCTCCGGCAAGCATAACTGGCCACCTGTGTTAGTTCCATGCCGAAACTGACAGCAAAAGCTGCAAACCTATCGCGCATCTCCTGTTCATATGCCACGTCCAATCAGACTTCGTGTGCTTTCCGCTGAACCGGGGCTGACAAACCACCACTCCAACGTCCGGTACCTGACCTCTGCACCTTCTTCGTCTCCGAATGGCTCTTCCTCTGTAGTTTCGGGTTGCTGTTTGTATGTTTCATCGCGATTGAGGGGTTCCGCCGGCCGCGTTTCGAGGTCGAGGTCGGGTGTATCGGGTGACATCCTGCTGTTACCCACTCTGGGCTGTTTACCAAGTCGGCAATGCTGCTTCTTTCGCGAGGGCTATTGGCATCCGGTCTTGCTATATATCTCCAGAAGTGAAATTGATGACTAGGTAACATCAGCCAGAGATGCAGTGCAACCGTTCATTTGCCCGCTGCGAAGGAACCTCAAAATGAAACATCACATCGCCAGCGAGTGTTCTGGACTGGATTAGATCCTCCTTGCGTGGATGGCGATAGGCCCTTGCATCTACATCTGACCGAGATTCGAAGAGCATCATGGTGGTGATCGACCAGGCAGACTTTATTCTATTCCTTACAATAGATCTAACTTGAATCATGTTTGGACGGGGAAATTATAGCTCGTCTTGTAGTATTTGCAAGAAGGGGAAATCTGTCTATCATCTATCATCTATGTCTAAGCCGGGGTATCATCAAGTCACAATGCCATATCTGTCATTTCATAGTCTCCGGGCACACACGGTCCCGAATGAACAAGCCCACCCCGGAGAGTTCGCAAACCCGGCGCAAGGGTCCCACCATTTCATAAACCCGCGGCTTGATCACCTTTTCACCAGCCGCAGAACCCTCGTATCCAGAATTCTCATAATCCTCCTCATCGTGGAACAGTCCCTCAATCTCCAGCTTCTTCAAGTTCTTGAAGCGAGGTGACTGTCCACTTTTACCGTCAGCACCACCGCCATTCTGGCCGGCGCTAAGCAGCGTCCCCAACTGATTCACCAACATTGCCAACGAATTCTCCTTGCATCCTTCCACATACAACGACTCCACTCCAGCCGGCAAGACCTCCGTCAGCGGAACCGACGGCTCAGCCTGGTACCGGATATCCAAAAGATTCGGCAACCGGATCCGCACATCCTTCAGGTTCGTGAAATCGGCCAGCGACCCGAACCACTCGTCTTGTGTCTCGTTGGCACCCGCAATGGTGAAGGGGAGATGCACACCGCAGCTGTCAAGCCAGAGAGTGTGCAGGGTGTGTTTGCTAGCGGACAGCGAGTGGTAGAAGGCAGCAGGCTGGTAGCCTTCAGCGAGCAGATGGCCGTCTGAGTGCTGGTATTTAAATGACCTGAGGGCGGAGCAAGCGGCGACAATGCTTGTCATGCCTTTGGCGCCGCTGCTGGAGTTCAGGACAATTTCTGATACTGACGAGGCCAGCGGATCTTGCTCTGATCGCGGCTGTTCATCCGCGGACGTCGATTCAATGACTGAATCGACCGTGATGGCGCGCATTGACGGTAGTTGGAAGAATGGAAGCACCTGAGACGGGGCATAGGTGCCCTTGCTGTCAAGGGTATCGTCCAGATGACCCATGGAGACTTCTCGCAAAGCACGGAAGGCAGGCTGGGTGTCGAACGGCTTCTCTCGCTGGACGGCCCGCTGCATCATGCGGTCGAGATACTTGTTCTCTTTGGGATATACCAGCCGCAGCTGCTGGACGTTCCTCACCAGCGGCAGGAGAAGGGCCATCCAGGCCTCTCCGATGTCTTGCTGCAGATCCTGCTCCCACTGGGCGTATTCCTCGTCTGAGTGGCTTATTTCTTGAGCCCAGTTGCGAAACACTTCCATCTCCTCTTCAGCCGCGCTGGGACTTCCGTACATCTCAGACTGCGTTCGCCACCCGCTCAAATCCAAGGCGCGAACCGCCCGAGCCAGCTCGGGGTGTCGCAACGCGGCGCTCAGAAACGAGCGCGTCTGGCTGCAGTCCTTCAGCGCTGCATAGCGGTATACGAGTCGACGGAACAAGCCATAAAAATGACGGCACGCGAATAGAAGATTGTAGCGGTCTTGGTGATCCTCCAGAAACTCGCCAATTTGTAGTAGGACATCATTGGAGAGGGCAGGTGGCATGTTGCAACTTTTCAGCTTCTTGTTCAATCAACTGAAAAACATCGTCATCCTTAAATGTGATGCTATGAGGCAAGTTCTTGACTAAGCTTCAGAAATTTAATCCACCGTGGGCCGGAGCTTACCTGGAATTACCACTTTGGGAAGCGGGAGCAGCAGTGATTGATCTCTCCGCTGGGCAATTGGCCAATGGGAATAAAACAGCGGACATGTGGGCGGATTTTTTTGATTTGCGTTATCTGGAAAATTCAAAAGAGGAAATCTTCATCATGTCTTTTCCGCATAGTGGAGTGTTGTGGATCGTTTGTTAATGCCAATTCATCATATTTACTCCGTACAGAGTTGTTTGACTAAGATTGACAGTCTGACTTGCTCAGTATTCAGTAATAGTCAGAATCAGTAGCCAGAAGGGCAGGCAGATTAGGCCTAGTATTGCTCTCTTGCACTTGTGATATCTAGCAGTTTATGATTCACTGTGTACCTGCATTACTACACATTGCAGAAACAAGTGTTATACTCTGCTTCATTGTAACCACAATGAATTGTTTTAGTCCGACAATGAGAAGAACGTGAATATCCTCGGCAAGCCTGCTTCTTTGGGATGTATGATGTGGATCTTCCGCATCTGCAACACTTATTTATCCTTAGCAGTTAGCAATTTAGCACTAGCTAGGTTGATCTGGCGATCACTCTACGGAGTAGATCTTCATCTCCTCGGAAACTATCAGATGGGAATGGGCATCCTGTAACTAGACCAGTGGTCATTTGTAGGATGGGAAGATGTTCTCTACGACTGGCATTGTATGTTGCGTATATGCAAATTCAGCAATCTACAGGATGGTGATGATGATTATTATCTACTCCATATGCTAAGAAGTAGCTCGGAAGTCGTCCGGCCAATCATAGCTCTAACGTCGCCGATATCTGGGATCGACAGAGCGAATTTACATCTTGACGATTACTGGACAATCATTTCGTCATTACGCTGTTCGATGAAGAGGGATATGGTGCTTGCTATGTACAGCTCTCCAGTCGGCAGAAGCACGAAGACCGAATCGGCACGTCTGCTGTCGCTGCAGCGAGTGTCAACTGCTGCTGGATGATCCGTGCCTCTGCCGACCGTCCCAGCCTCGTCAGACACTCGTGATACCCATGTAACGACCACACATTGTTCGGATGCTGCAGGGCCCGCGGCAGAGTATCGTCCATCCCCAGATCGGCACCGTACACTTCCGCAGCCTTCTCTACCTGGCCCTGCTCGAGCAGGAGAGCACCATAGGCATGCCGGGTGGGCTGCATCCAGCCCCATGGCTCGTCATAGGGAAGGCTATCATCCAGCGCAATGGACCGTTGCAGGTGCTTGAAGGCGGCGTCGATATTCCCCCGGCGGTATTCGATCTCCCCGTCGAGCATGGCATCTGCAATGGCCAGAATATCACGGCAGGTGTTGTTGAACAGTGCCCGGCTGGGAGGGACGCGGCCGAGAGCTTTGTGGAATATTGCCCGCTCCTTGTCTGCCTCGTCTACTTGTCCGAGAGCAGCATATGCTACGCCTTTGGCGTAGAGGATCATTGCCGTAGTCACGCAGTAGAGAGTCTGGTCCTGTGGCAGTTCCAGAGCGAGGATATCCTCCCAGCGCCCGAACCGGATAAGCACGTGCACTTTCACCGCGAGGAAGCCCTCGAGCCAGTCTGCCATCGGGGGAGATTCGATCCGTAAAAGCTCTTCGGGAATGGAGGCCTCCAGCTCAGCTGCCGTGTCCAAGGCTACCCTTGACTGTCCAGCGAACATGGCCGCGTAGATACGGAAATGATAATCATGAGACCGATAGAGGGTATAGAAGTTGACGGGCCCTGCACGAGCGAGGAATTTCTCGTCTGCACGGATAGCTTCCGAGTTGGAGGCCACTGCTCGGCGATAATCGCCACAGAGAATGTCCAAATGCGTAGGCATATGATTCAGATGCCCTGCGTCAGGTACCAGACCCCGCAGATGGTCAGCAGCCGTCAATGCGCTCTCCGGGGACCCTGACATCTCCATCAAATGGATGTACAGATGCAGCAGTCCCGGATGAGAGAGCCCTCCCTTCTGTGCCAGCGCACGGTCGAGGACAGTTTTTATGTCTAACGTACGCGCGTCCGGCGCGGGCTGCCCAGTCTTTATATCCCAGAGCGCCCACGGCGTAAGATTCATCAAGGCGTCTGCATACAGCACCGCGACGTCTAGGTCCTCTGGATACTGTTTATATACCACTTCCATGGCATCGGCGTAGCCCTGGTTCCAGGATGAGCAGTCCCCCGCCGGCCGGTCATGCGGGTACCGATACTGCAAGGCGTCGATCAGAGCCGCCTCTACCGGCGACGCTGTTTTTGCATTGGCCTTAGCATCCTCTGCGGCCCTGCAAGTTCGCTGCACTGTCGATTCGAGCTCCTGCTTATCGAAAACCTCCCATGGTTTGTTGTAGTTTGGGCCGAGGGCGTAAGCGAGGCCCCAGTATGACATGGCACACTTGGGGTCAATTGCGATGGATTGTTCGAAACAATGGACCGCTTCTTCATGGTTGAAACCGTATGTCCAGATAAGCCCGCGGTCGAACCATAGCTGAGCTTGATGATTAGCGGTGCTCACGCGTCGGTGATATGATCCGAGGTTGTAGTAGGACTTGGAGGCATCATCTGAAGATCGTTCATGTTGATTGCTCGTCATGGTTGATGTGCCTGTGAACCCATTACCGTACAATTATGAAGGACCTTTTTATTGATGCGAACATATTCAAATGAAGGTGTTGACAAACGAGTTGGTGACGAAGTGGGGTAACTCAAGCGGGATAACGTCTCATGATCCAAGTGGCATATCAACCTCCTGGCCTGCTCTCACTATGCATTTCGTCACGGCAGGATCCTGACAGAACCGTTCGCTGTCGTCCATTTCTGTTCGAGACGATAGTTTGAGCATTGCATGATGCAGTTTGACTGTGAGAATATTCGATGGATTGTCCAGAAACCCTCGACAATCTGCGAATGAATGCGCTATTAGACATTCTGAAATATAAGCACCGACGCATATGGCTATATCAAGTAGACATGCAATAAGTGATGCACTGAAGGAACTCTATACGCAGGCCTGCTACTGTACCCCAGCTGGCAGTGGCAGAAGCGTATCGTGATTCAAGTCAATAGACTTAGTTGCAAGCACTGACTGCGTAACGCATCTAAAAAGTATTCCAGAAACCTGAACCCGGTATGCCCATTGGAAGCTCAGGTTGAGATGAGTGACTCGGTGTTGGTTGGGTGGACGTTGTTGCGCTGGTTAAGATCATCCTGTGTCCCAGCCGAATACCAGCCAGACTGCAGCTACAGCACCATGGAATTATAAATGAACTTATCATCCCGCCATTACTTACTGTTGAGAGATGCCAAAGCCTTCGCATTATGCGTACGATTAACTGATGGTATTACCATACATAACTGGAGGAAATGGCCACAGCAAGCCCATGTCTAATATACCACACATTTAGGTCTCTCGTTCTCTGCCCAGCCTAAATGCAAATCATATTCAAAAGCAGTGGTTAAAAACGCCTTGTACCAGAGAGATCAGAGAACAAACAAGAGGCCCAGGCTTGCCGTAGACCGGTTAATCAATCGGTGTATAGCCCTTCCTCGTTTTTTGCGACATTTGCCTCGTCTCAGGAGCGACTCCGTCGGTATAGGTATCCTCGTCCTCAGCCGGAATCCCATGAATGACGCCCATTGACATCCTCTCTTCTCTATCGCAGTCCCAAATCTGTCATCTCAACGCTGTCTGCCGATCCCATCCAGAGAATGTTGTTACACCTGGTTCGTGTCAGTCAGGTCATATCAGGAAAGAGGATGGGAGCGCCGTAATCTGCAACGTACCGAATTAGCACAAGACCAAGTGTACCCGTGTTCTTTCCATCGATGAACTCTTCCGTATCCCTCAGGAGGACATTCATGTACGAATCGATGCTCTCCAGCTTGCCCTTGTACTCTGTCTGGCCCCACTTGAGACGGATGATGAGCTCGGTGCCGACCCTAGAATGCTATATTAGAAAATAATGTGTTCATTCGGTCGTACGGGATAGCGATAAATGCGCAATCGGAGGGGGATTGGGTAAGTTGAGAAGCCGTACCGAGCTTGCAGAAAGGGCCGGGGGTTAACTGGTTGGAACTGCAGTTTGTGTCAATACATATCAATAAGCGAATTCCGCAAATCTGGAGCAAACGGAGGAATCGAGGAAGAACGAACACTCATGGTGGTGATGTGCGCCTTGTGATTGATTCACCAGGAATCGGAAGCTGTGCGAAACCGGGAGGCCCTTCAAAAAAAAAAAAAAAAACAAGGGTGCAGTATGTATAGTGTGTAATGAGTCTTGGTTGACCAGCTGAAAAGATTGAGATATCCGAATCGAAAGTGCTGGACTGGTCGCGTGTTGAGGTGAAAAGTGGTCGGAGCTACCGCATTACGCCCAATCGACCGCTGAAGGTTCCCAGACCGCGAAAATGTGATGCTGCTGGACGCGGCTCTCGGCCAATCACATGTTGAGTTGCATCACCGCCTTGAGAACATCTCTCAGTCAATAGGGAAGAAGTCAAAAAGGAAAAACCAAGCCGATGACTTGCAGTTGAATTGATTCTAGTTTACCAGATTCACGATCCTCTTGCCCATCGTTAGAAGGAACAGACGAATGAGAGTACAGTGTCCGCCGCAGGCTTCTACATCAGAGACGCACTTCACCACGCGACATATGAATTGAAGCTCGAAATGAGCTGAAGATACTGACACAGAATGCTACAGAAATAATCTCCCCATGTTGTGAAATCGTTGGCCAATAATCTCAACCTCTTCCCACCTCCCAGCTGATTTCCTTAATGGAGACTTCCTCCCCGGCTTTCTCGTCATAATCATACCATTCTCCCTCGGACAAATCTATACCGGTGAAAGGCGTGGAAGATTCAGTCCCCTTCGCCTCCCAATCTCCCTGCGCATCTATCGTCAGAATCTAGTACTGCCCAAGAAATGATGATAAACTTACATCAGGCTTGAACTCCGTAAACTCCAGCCCACGACAGTCGATCTCGATCACTTTGGTGCCCTTGCGCTTCTCATCCCCCGCATAGGCATGCGGACCGTTGACGATCGAAGCGGAATGGGTTTTCTGGTTTCAAACTTCTTGGTTAGCGAATAACTCTATAAAAAGCCTGCCTACATTCCGTATCTCGTTATCTCCTTGGGTCTCGTAGAACCGACCGCAAGGGAAAACGAGATGGCTGGTACAGGCAAGCCGAGTAGAAGACATAAAAGGCAGGAAAAGACCAACCTGGCAAAGCTTGCATTTCCACACAAAGTTGGCCTCGCCCCGACTTCCGGGGATCTCGTGTTGCTCCTGTATTAGGAGCTGTTAGAAGTGTGCGCACCACTGTTTGTAAAGAGGGGTGTCAGGCGTTACGCAAACTTACAAAGCGATTGAAGCTGACCCAGTTCGGATGCACCTCGCGGCAAGAAGTGCATTGTACCTTGAAGGTGTAGAAGTATGGTTCTTCCTCCGTGTCCTTTGGCCGGAGGTCGGTGACCCTACATTGAGTGATGAGCTACGGTCATGATTGAGGCGTGCGGGGAAACTGATATAGGCAGAGAGGCGAAGCGAGGGAGGTATGAAGGATATATATAACTCGCTCGTGTTATCTTACCCTGTAAGCTCGGCAGAGACGAGAAGCGAAAGCATTTTGTTTGATTTGAGTCTTATCAGCCTTTTCTTAACCAGAACCTAGCGAGGGAGAAATGTGATACAGAAGTCTTTAGGTGGGTATGTTCTGTGCGGGGTGATTGGTGAGGGTGATGTAGTTCGAGAAATTCCATCGTCTTCGGTCCACTGCCTTTAGGTACTGATAAGATTGACCGCCCACATGCACCAATGCTGGAATTCTCATATCTTGCTGAAAGCTTTATTTTGGCTATTTTCTATTTAAAAGCGGAAAGGAAAGCGGATTACATGGATATCAACGCCAGTAATGCAAGTCGTCATCGTCCACAACGAATCATAAGACCAAAAAAGGGAAAGACAATGGATACATCAAAATTAAAGATACACAGGATTGCAACCGAATAAGTTCGTTTACAGACGGCTTTGCTGGTCCTGGCCAAGGGGCTTTGTGGAGAAGCAGTTGAAGTATGCGTTGAGAGCATCAACAGTGCCGCTGCCCTCCACCAATTGCACAGTGCAGGCAACGTGGCTGTCGGGACGAGTGACAACAACCCCCCCCTTCTCAGGGTCGAAGCCCAGCTTCTCATGGGCGGCAAACTTGGCGAGAGGCACGCGCACGTCGGGAATGTCGTCTGCGTAGATGTGGTGGTGGTAATCGCGAAGGATCTGAGGTATGGCCTCCACATCAACCTCGTTCTTCTGAGCAGCGTAGATCAGGCAGATAGAGAAGAGCTTGGAGTGAGGCAGGTGGCGCTCAAAGAAAGAGATCTCATCGATGCGGCGGTAAGAAGACAGGAATGACCGCTCCTTTTCAAGGTTGGCACCAAAATCTGTGATTGCCTTCTTGGTGTTCGCCTGTTTACCGGCGAAGATGAAAATGCGGAATGCTCCGTTTGCAGGGATTTCCTGCTCGAGGTGCACAAAGTTGGCATCCGCCAATCGCGTCACAGTGGTGGGAGTGAAGGCGCGGCCAGGAGTCAGCTTAACATCAGGGATGTTGAACAGAGGCGACTGAGCAGGATGGCTTGGACTCCAGTTGAAAACATTGGGCTTGTACGCAACGCCGTATCCGGAGGTGAATTCGCAGGAAGACTTGAAGGTCTTGACAAACTCGTCCTCCTCACCGCCAGCGGCGGCCCGGGTGTGGCTTGCGGATCCGACCTCACCGGCTGTTGGGCGACGCTTGGAGAAGAGGGCCGCATATTTGTTGTCGAAGTCCAGCAGCCTTTCGGCAATGTCCTTGCGCTCGCTCTCGTACGTGCTCAAAATGGAACGGTCGGCCAATCCAGACTCGACGGCGTGGAGTTTCCAGGCCATGTTTAGTGCATCGTGGAACGCTGTGTTCATACCCTGACCGGCCTTGGGGCTGTGCGTGTGGCAGGCATCCCCTCCCATGAAGACACGCTCGTCCAGGGTATATCTCTCGGAGATACCCTGACCGATGGGGTAAACAGAGTACCACTCGACGCGGTCCCACTCCAGAGTGTATGGCTTGAGAATCTTCTTTGCCGTCTCCTGGACTTCCTCAGCAGTGGCGGTCTTTCTTGGGTTGAAGTCAGGATCAGAGGAAGACGCGATCTGGACGTAGAGACGGACCATGTTGTCCTCACGCGGGATAACCATGATGGAGCCGGCATCTGAGTGGATGGTGCACTTGGTCTATTATAAAACGACTTAGTAACTGAAGCCATTTTCCTGGTATTGGATGAAGATCTATGCTTACCTCGATATCAGGAAAGTTCGTTCTCACAACACCGTCCATGACACCCCACACATAAGAGATGGGATCCTTATGGTGGATCTTGATGCCGAGCTGCTCTCTGACAAAACTGCGAGCGCCCTCCCCACTGAAGAGGTACTTGGTGCGAACAGTCTCGATGACATTTGTATCAATGCTCTTGAGCGACACCTGGACGGGATAGTTCTTGTCTGCGCCATCGTTTTTGAAACCGATGATTGTCCAGGGTCTCTCAATTCTTGTGCCAGCTTTCTCAATTTCGTCAATAAAGACTCTCTCGATCTTGCCCTGGTGGACGAGGGTAGTGAAAGGGTATCTCGTGTCAATGAATCGAGGGCAGCTAGGCCAGCTTCCGGTGCGGTGGATACCCTTGCCTTCGGGAAGAGGATCCCAAAAAGCGACATCATACACCTTAGCTGGCTTGTAAGCCATAATCTGACGCTTCAGACCCAGGTTCCGAAGTATCTCCGTTGAGCGAGGCTGAATACCATCGGCACGGCCAGTCGCGGTAGGCACCGGGCGGTTGTCGATGTGCTTCACTTTGTAGCCCCAGCGGGACATGCAGAGAGACAGCAAAATTCCAACTGGGCCGGCGCCCACGATGACAATGTCATATTTTTCTTGTGAGTGTGTCATCTTGGTCAATTGACTTGAATATCCTTAAATTGTTGAATCTGCAGGAGGAGGTTGAGGGTCCGCCAATGACGTATCCAAGCAGGGAGTGTATGTATAGGTAGCCAATAATCAATAGCACAGCATCACCCGTATAAAAGTAATCCTGGATCTAAGTAGGTGAGATAGAAAAGACACAGAGAGGTAAAATAAGCCATTTCCAAGAGGGTAGTAGGCGCTCATATATAATTCGAGGCAGCTGAGGTAGCGGGTGAACAGTGTGAGGCTGCAAGCAACGGAGGACCACAACGGCATTCAGATTCGGCTGGATGGTAGAGACCAAGTGAGGGATGTGGCTCAGAGGTCATAAGCGACCCTAAGCTGCAACGCACAGGCGGGTTTAGTCCAGCAGTCGAACTAGAGGGACCCCCTGTAATTGGAGATTGCGGGACGTGCGGGCGTGGATGGGAGCTGGGTCTGCGGGGAGGACGGAAGGCAGATGGTAAGTGGTTAGAAGGCGCGACTAACGGAGGAATGCCGTGGTCCATTCCGAGTCTCTGACCCTGGCTGCGGCTAGCAGGTCGGCAAGTGGAGAGTCTCACGTGACTCGCACTCCTCGGCAGCGTCACCCGGGACTTCTGGGCGGTTTACCATGTCTCTGATTGGCTCCATAGAAATCCCGACTCTATTGCCATTACCTTACTTTAGCTACGACGTATGAGCTCCTCGAGCTTCGAAGGATATCTATACCTTCTGGGGATCTTGAATCCGATTGGTCTTTTCTGTACTCTGTTGGCCTAGTGCTCAGGAGGATGTTTGGTGCATAAATCCACGGTAGCCTTGAGTAGAATTGCGTCTGACTCCGAGAAGCCGCTCAATGGGAACCAGCAACCTTCACGGCGGACGTCCTTGGGATACCGTCTCGATTACCGTACATCAAAGATCGACCGAATATGGACGCATAAGCTAATATTCACCCTCAATTTCGGCATCTCCATTGGTCATTCCTCGTTTGTGAGGGAACAATCCCGAAGACCGCCTACCTCTCTTCGAAGAAGTGCGGTTTGGCGTGCTAACATACATTTAGCGGCCCTCTAGCCGTGTTTTCTAGTAGTGTCCATTCCCCAGGCATTGGGGTTCGGCTTCCCGGAGTATTCTGGGCTTTGGGGAGACATTCTACCGCACGGAGTTCGGCTTGCTGAATATTCGCGGCTAATCCAGTGGTAGTTGCTAGATCTCTGCATCATCCTGGGGTCTCCTGTCATCGGGAGAAGAGAATACTTGTTCACAATTATGTATATACATCTCGTTGTGTAGTGAATGTCATTATCAAAACTCACTTCGGACTCACTTTCGCCTAAAGCACTGCAGACGTCATCTTGTTGTTTTGGGGCATTTACAAGATCATGAATCACAAGACAAGTACAGATTGTGCAACTCAAGGCCACATCCATTATTATTTGTCAGATCTATAGTAAGTGTCATTTGGTAATAGTGTGCCCTTTGGCGAGAATGAGTAGTTCCTGAGCCTCCCTGAGTTCATCTCTACTCAAAGGCAAAGGTGCGGAATGGCTTTACCTCCTATACTAGATATCATAATACTTGAACAAACATATCAGCCAGATTGCTATTGTCCATAAATACTGAAATAAAGTAGTCAGAGTCATGTGTCACCTCGTGGCGTCATCTTGGATCTTCGAGACATCGGCCAAAACTATGTTTTTCTATACATCCCTCAATAACTACCTAGTCACGATCACGTTCTAGCAATAAGAGAGAATGAAATAAGGATCCACTGGTCCTTGAAGCCGGGTAGCTCTTTGAGCGTATAGTCTTCTCTGTGATGTGTTCCTGTTGATTGTTGAATTCGGGGAGCTGAATGTCCAGAAAAAAAAGGATAATAAAATTGATCTATTGCCGAGGCAAATTGTTGAACATAAATAAAGAGAAAAGAGAAGAAGAAAAAGTTAACAATCAAACTATAACCTTACTCCAAATAAGCATTCTCTAAGGCTATTTAGGTAATGGACATAATGCTATTGTTGCGAGTCCACCCCATTCACCTCAGTATTTCCAGAATAGGGCGCCAGCAATCAGCAAACAAACCCATTTTAGTCTGAATAGATTGTCTTGAATAGAGCTATTGCACTGACAATAGCATTGTATCCAGCTATATGAAATAATTACCGTATCAATAGACAATAAGAGGCCGACTACCACGACGCTATATCAGTCCCCTACATCTTCTTCTGTTCGATGCATCTTCTTCCGAAAATTATATCGTGTCTTCGCATCTGCCTTCTCTTGCAATCCCTCTGCACGTACACCATCTTGCCTCCGCTATCGAGCAGTGCTACGTCGTCAATTTGATCCCATCGTTCATACCGCTTCATCAACATGAGCGACGAAACCTACGAAGTCCCCATCATGCTGAGCCCAGAGTAAGATCCTCTGTCCATTCGGAAATACATATGCTAATTGTTTGAAGTATCCATCTCTCATACGAGGATATCGCCAAGCTCAATCCTTTCTATGAAAAGTACAGGGAATTCTGGAACACCTCCCCTGATACCACGGCCACCACACTCTCTTCTCTGGATACTTCGTCCAGATCCCCTTCTTTGCAGTCAGTCAACGCTAGCACTGTTGCACCACCGTCTCCTCTTGATATCTCATCTTCTCCATCACTGCACTGCGCCGAGCCTTGTGCTGGTCTCAACCTTTCCGCAATGCTCGAACTCCCTCTGCGTAAAGGAAATCAGCGCAAGCCATCTGTTAGGGTCTACGACGAGGGTATTCCCGCAAGTCAGCAAGCCACTTTTGTGCTTGAAGGGTTCAGCAACCACTCCCTGTCGCCTGTGAGCGAAGCAACGGAAATATGTGATTTCCATGCGATTGATCGTCAGCACTTCGGCGACTCCACTCAACAAGTGAGATCCTCGCACAAGAAGCTTTTCGGAACAAATGGCTGGCTCGGTCACGCCGACGACCTTAACACTGCATCCCTCAAGAGACAAAAGTCGAAGATTTTCCGAGATCTGGGAAAGAAGATCAAACATCATGTGGGAGAGATTGTTAGCCCTCACAGCTACTTTTGATATGACGAAGTACAGGTTTCGCTAACATAATTTACAGGCGGACGATATGGCAAAGGCTTACCCAAAGGCGTTCACTGGTGCACCACGCCGGCCAAGAATCGTTCCTGAGTCGGCAGTTCCCATCTCTCTGGACCCTCCTACACAGGCCAGACTGTACTCGGAGATGGAGGTGATGATCTGCGTGACCGCCAACACATTCCTCGTTCGACAATACGAAGCCGGCCGTATCTCGGAGGAATCCATTAAAAAGGTTATCAACTTCTGGGGCTCCAAGAACAGACCTCAGGTCGTCGAATTTCAATTCGATCAGGCCACTCAGCGTCGACTGATCTTGTCCAACATTCGAACACTGCGCTTCGACGGAGAGAGTTCGACCAACCCCATCCTTCTACACTCCAATCTTCACAACTGGAAAGCAGTGGTGAAGGAGATGAGTGTCCGCACCTTCTGCGCCCCGGACAGTGCCATTCGGAAACACATGCACGACATCCACAAGCTCCTCGACATGCTCGGTGCGCACGATGCTACATTACTTGCCTTCGAAGAGCTTCAGATGAGCACACTAGCATTGATGAGACAACGTCGACAGATGAACTATCATCTCGAGCGAAGCAACAGCACCTTCTCGGGGTCAAGCAGCGGACCCACAGAAAGCAGTCGGCTCATGCACTAACTAAATTTGCCTTGAACAAGTGGAGTTATGGGCTGGACAACACCTCGAGCAGATCAACTGTCGACTCTTCGTCTGTAATTTATTTGTGCTTTTCTCTTCTTTTCCAACACTCATATTGGCATGTACGTTATTAGGCTCTGTTTAGCGTGGCCTTGCTTTACTTCGATACCCTCTTATAGCGAAGCACTGAGAAAGTCGATCTAATCTGACAGAACCCTTTTATTCTGAGCTCTCCCTCAATTCATATCCAAAGCAATGAGTTCTCTGCGTCTTGTTCTCCAAGAAACTGAAATAGTTGAACGTGCGGTCTCCTTGTTTGTTTTGGCAATGCCCAGAAAATGCCCAAGCACGTGGCCGACGTCATAGGCTCCCGCGTAGGATCACAGGCAAATGACCTCGCGCATATTCATTAACTGCTTTCCACCTTTCGCAGCAGGCGATTTTATTGTTCCTCTCTCTGTGTGAGAATACGTTGTAATGGGATCTGTCACCTATCATGACAACTCCCCGGTTGCTGCCAAACATTAAGCTCTCTTGAAGCTTTCCTTGGGCCCAGTCCCCTTGTTAACACGAGGCCAGCCAATGGGAAATTGACACTGTCGGCTTTGATGCTATGGCATTGGAATATCAACCAGCATTCTCCAACTCTAGCGCAGGCAAATTCTTTCTTTGATGATTGCTTAGGTCTTTTCTGCTCGCTTCCACCTTCTGTTCACAAAACTAGCTGTCCAGAACATCTCACATGATGGCTGGTCCGCTTCACACTTACGGACCGACCTGTCTACTGGCCGACGATGATCCCGACCCTTCCACATGGTATTCTCTATCTGAACCGCCCAAAGTTCGAGCGCAGTTTTTCTACACCTCGTCTCTACCGATCGATGATCCCTTAAGCGCACTGCCTCCGCCGTCCAGCGGTCAAACTGCGAAGAATGAACGGGCACCACCGCAGCCATTTTCTGTTAAGGACAACATAGCGCTCGAGGAAGCGTGGCGGAATCTTCGGGAAACAACGAGTGAAAGGGCGGCCGGGTCGAAGAAGCCTCCGACTGTCGTGAGGAACGCAGGTATAGCTGTACCAGGGAAGGAATCGGTCAATGACACGGAGAGGAGGCATACAGGCAGCCGTGGAGATGGAAGCCTCACTGGGATTGATGAGAGTCCACCGAATAACCATACTTCGTCTACCGACGATCAGCCATTTCGCAGTAGCAGAGGAGATGCAGTCGGCGGTACGGGTGACAGTGTGCCATGGGGCAGATCGCAAGCTGGCTCTGCACAGGACGATGGGTCTGACAATCACAACCAGAGAAAAATGGAACTGTTCTTAAGCGACCAAGACAATGCTGCAAAACGCGTTGCAGGTACACCCTCAGCGAGCGAAAATCCATCAATGGGGGGATTCGAGGGTGGAAGTCTACCGGGTAAATCATCTCATGATGCGAGCATTAGCGGCTCGCCGTTTGCTAGAGCTCCTATTGCTCAGTTACAAAGCCCGCTAGGTCGCTCGGTTGAATCTGTCTCCTCAAAGGGTGGAAGCTCGAATATCCAGGCTGAACCCTATTACGCCGGGCCGCATCATACTGCGACGAAGCCCTCAGACCTGAGAAACAGTATTGGTCAAGACAACTCGTCAGAAGGACCTATAATAGAAGCTGGAGCAGTTGACCAGGACACTTCTCAGTTGAAGGTTCCCGTCGGTGTTTCCCGACTTCACCTGGTGGAGTTACCGAATCTAAAGGTGTCATTTCCCTCAATTAGCTGAGTTCAGGATCTGACGGCGCTGATTCTCCTATAGATGAAACCCATATACTGGAGTCCTCTTCATGATGAATCGAATGTTCTGCGTGCTACTTGGTTTTACAAGAACACAATGCTTCCAGTAGAAACAGAGCTCGCCAACAAGCTTGAGGATGGATACATTTATCTGAAACCCTGGACAGACACATGGCAGGACGAACTCGACAGCTGCGTTGAGAACGGAGCCGACGCGGAAATGAAAATCGTGCACAAACTGTGGCCGAAACCCGATCCGAAATCCCACAGCACACCTACTTCACGCCCTGGATCTAGCGCTCAGGTAAGAAGTGCAGGTCCGGATTCTGACTCGCCAACGTTTGAAGAAAATCGAGCTGCTGGTGGGACGACTGCACATACTGAAGCCGCCAGGCCCTTTTTGAATTCCAGTGTCATATATGTTGATGGTAGGAATGCTCAAATTCTCAGACCCAGCTTGCTTCCTTCTGTTTCAAGAGGGAGGCGACCTCTCAGTTCCATTCGCAAGGGTCGACATATTGGAATACCCGTGGTCCGTGGCTTCAGCCGTCGCTCATGGGAACAGCTACATCCATCTAAACCCAGTCCTGTAGATGTAAGAAATTACCTCCGAATCCAATCGCGAGCAATGTCCAGGACGGATGGTAGACAAGTCTGCTATGCCTGTGCAATGGAAGGATCGCGACCTACTCCGACGGACTTGGTGTTGGTCATCCACGGCATTGGTCAGAAGCTATCGGAACGTATGGAGAGCTTCCATTTTACGCATGCAATCAATGCCTTCCGCAGGAATATCAACATGGAACTGAATAACGAGCCAGTCTGGCATCATGTGCGCCGGGACCATGGCGGGATCATGGCCCTACCCGTCAATTGGCGATCGACGCTATCCCTGGCGGATGGCAGCCTCGAGTCTGAGATTTCTGATGATCCAACTGCAAATCGCTACTCGCTGAACGACATCACGCCGGAGACAATTCCGGCCGTCAGGTCATTGATCAGTGATGTCATGCTCGACATTCCCTACTACTTATCACATCACAAGCCGAAGATGATTCAAGCAGTTGTCAAAGAAGCGAATCGAATATTTCGACTGTGGTGCAAGAACAACCCCGGGTTCCAGAAGCACGGTCGTGTGCACCTGATTGCACACTCTCTAGGAAGCGCTATGGCTATAGATATCCTCAGTCATCAGCCGACCAAGCTACCAGATATTGATTTCGCAACGACGAGCGTCCGCAATGATATTTTCGAGTTTGACACGAAGAATCTTTTCCTTTGTGGTAGTCCTGTCGGCTTTTTCTTGCTCTTGAATAAAGGTACGTTGGATCTATGGATTACACAGGTTGTTCTACGGAGCACCCGCTAACGAACTCTACAGCGAACCTCTTGCCACGGCGAGGTAGAGATAAGCCCGGCTATGAAGGCGAGGATCGACTTCGTGGTGTTGCAGGCGAGGCAGACACCTATGGTTGTTTGGCCATTGATAACCTCTACAACATCATGCACACTACAGACCGTAAGTCCCTTTTTCTTGCCATTGCAATCGAATATAATGGTTGACTCTATCAGCAATCGCATATCGTGTCAATGCCGCAGTGGACGTTGACCTTGCCAATTCTTTAAAGGTCGCTTCAATCCCAGGCACATCATCCTCCTTCTGGGAATCTTTCGGCAGTGTCTTTCGCTGGAGCACGTCCACTGCTTCCGCGCCTAATCGTCCTGCGACCATTACCAAGCTCCCTTCCAACGTGGAAATGGAGACACATGATTTCACACGCGAGGATATCGCAGAGAAACGCATGTTACTCCTTAACGATAACGGCCAAATAGACTATTTCATTTCCGGCGGTGGTGGACCACTGAACATTCAATATCTGAACATGCTGAGTGCGCATAGCAGTTACTGGATCCTATCAGACTTTGTTCGCTTTATCGTCATAGAGGTAGCCCGCGAGCAGGGGAGGGAATCGACATTGCCTGCATTCAGGGCTGAGAAGAAGAAGGGATGGAAGTTACATAAAGGTTGATAGATTAGAGATAATAATTCCGTTACTGGCATTGGCATTGGGCGGAGATACCTACATATTGGCGGATTACAGCGAAGTATCCTCGTCTGGAGGTGCTGAGGAAATGTTATCTTTATTGCGTTCATTCCGAATTTACTGTACCTTAGCCACGAGACTACCATACACGTTCATAGCAGACTCGTAGCACCAGTCTACGCCTCCGGCACTACATTGCCGAGCATCAAAGCCTCCACTAGGGTACCCTTGTCCACCTTTCCGCTTCCCGGATGAAGTACCAGTAGCGCATTCGCACTCGCAAGGCTTCCTACCCTTGAGCTCCGCTGGCCAACACCTTCAAGGCCGGTACTCGTGGCATACAGCCGGCCATCAGAACGCGAAGCAGTGACAATGGCACGATGGTACTCTGTGCGCTTAGGGTCAAGCGGAAACTGATGCGCCAGTGTGACGGACACAAGAGGCAGCCCCAGCTCAGGAGTCACTCCCGGCGCAGTCTGTCTCTGCCCCATTCCCATCAACTTGTGCAGCGACGGAAGCACGAACAGATTCAGCGTCACCAGCGCCGAAGCGGGGTTCCCCGGCAGCGAGAAGATGAGTTTCGACTCGCGCTCCTGCTGCGCGGAGCCAGTCGGTGACGATGAGGGCTTGAATGGGATTGTGGCGAACGTCGTCGGCTTCCCCGGTTTCATTGAGACGCGGCCGAAATGGATGGTGCCGCCAAGCGAGCGCTCGATGGTCGGCTTGAGCAGGTCCAGCTCGCCCATTGAGACGCCGCCTGTGGTGACGATCACGTCGACGCTGGTGCTTGCGCGCCCTACGCCGCGGAGGGCGTCGCGGAGGGCGTCTTCGAGTTCCGTGGGTGGTGTGTCGCGCGCGATTCCCAGGTCTACTGTGGGGAATCCCCATGAGGAGAGGCAGGAAAGGAGCGAAGGGCGGTTGGAGTCGCGGATCTGGCCACCGTGGAGTTTGGCTGGGTCGTTGTGTTCGACTAGCTCGTCGCCGGTGCTGAGAACGCCCACGCAGGGTTTCTTGTATACCCTGACGGTCTTGGTTCCTGTTGCTGCAAGGAGGCCGATTTCGCCCCCGACGGATGTGATGAGGTCGCCTTTGGAGAGGATTTTGGAGCCTAGCGCGACGTCACTGCCTGGTTCACGAACGTTCTCCAGAGGTTTGATGTCGCCGGTGAGGATTTCGATGGTGGCCTCTTCTTGACCGTCGGGCGTGGAGGACACGAGGACGGTGTCTTCTACCATCACGACTGCGTTCGCGTTGGGTGGGAGGGGTGCGCCGGTGGTTATTCTGGCCACGGTACCAGGTTCAAGAGGCGACAGCGTCCCTCCTGGGTTCGCGTGAGTGATGGAGGCTACGGGGAAGATCCCCTTCGTACTAGGCCCGGCTGTTGGTGAGTCAGGGGCAGTAACGGCATATCCATCGACAATACTGGCGCGGTAGGCCGGTACTGCCTCTCCAGCGTAGACATCCTCGGCGACGACATAACCAACAAGAGAAGATGTCACAGGAACCTCGATGACGACCGGCTCCGGCGTGTGCTGGCTGATCAGTTTGAGAGCTTCGTCGACCGAAAGCATGGGGTAAGGAGACGAGCGATAACGGCGGTTCGGTCCTGCATTCGGGTCATTAGACTGAGGCCGTTCTGAAGGTGACGTATGCGCCCTTGGGACTACGTGTCCATGACCATGAGAATGCCCATGAGTGTGGTGATGGTGATGGTGGTGGTGATGATCATGCGGTTGTGCTTTGTCCTCTGAGCTTTTGTTCTGAGAAGACACGCCAGCTTCGGCTTCTAGCTTCTTGATTCCACCTGCATGGAGAGCTCTGGAGTTTGCTCCAGCCGCTTGAGTACAGGCATGCGGTAGAAGTTTGATGATAGCCTCAAGGTTCTCCTTGGCTCCTTTCGGGGAACCTGGTAACGTAATCAACAGCGACTTGTCTCTGACACCTGCAACAGGCCGAGACATCATTGCAACTGAAGGAATGGTCAGCTACTGCACTGAGTAAAATGATGTTCCCAGCCTTACATGGTGTCACCCTAAGAGAGGCGGCAAGCATGCCGTGTCTGAGCCATGCAGTCAGTATCCATAGTCCGTAATAAGTAACTCTGACAGTCGGCTTACACAATGCCAGGCGCATGGCGATGAATGAGAGGCGATACAGCCTATACAAGTCATTAGCTTCTCGCTTGGGTACCCAAGAGAAACAGAACAGACCTCAGGAGTATTATCCTTGACAGCAAACCCCGTACCACCGCTAATCAAAACCAGATTAAACCAATCTGGACCGTCTGTCCAGTTGCAGATTGTGCGTTGGATATCTAGCACATTATCTGGCACGATCTTGATAACAGGAGGGTCCCAGCTGTTGGACCCCTCGGCTGTAAATGAAGCGGTCAGAGTATCGCCGACCTTATCAGTGGATGGGTCCTGAGAAGCAGTATCTGAGACAACCAGGATTGCAGCCCTGAGTTTGCCGTCGGCCATCTTGGGTGTAAACGCTGCAATGCGTGACTAATTCGTTGCTTCTTGGAGGTGCGGGGATACGTTACGCTCTTAAGTAGCTCGATAAGCGGAATCGGAGATATATCTCAAAGCTGCAGATAGCGGAGAGCGCTTTCATGGTTAACTACCGTCATAAAAGAACTACGCTCCGCGGAAGTACAAACAAATGAATGATAGGGAATCCTCCATCAATTGCGCATATTTACACAGTGCCAGAA